CACCCCTTGGAGTCTTTCTGCAGCCTGAGCGCCATCCCCACCCTTGGAGGTGGTCAGCCAGGAGCTGGGCGAGGGGCCGCCCTGGAGAGGACCGCCAGCCCCCTGACCCCGCCCCTGCCTACACGGGACCGGGGATTTGCTCAGAGCCAAGTTCCCACAAACCTTCACAGGGGGACTGCCACACGCAAACACAAAACCAGATACTCTGGGTCCAAGTCACCCTGGGGGTGAGAAGGGGGCAGCAGTCTCCGCTGTAAGGTGCCACCCATCACCACAGGCAAGCACAGCTGCTTGGGGAGAGGCAGGTGAGGTACAGAGCCTCAGCTGTTGGTGTGGGGTGCTCTGCCTCCACGAGGGGGCTTGGGGGTCAGCTGCTTGTATATGACTCAGGACAGGGACCTCTGCCCTTCCCCTCGCGCGCTGCCATCTTGATTCTCTCCGGCTCAGTTGCTCCCTCTCTGTCTCTCTCTCAGGCACACGTATGCACGCACGCATACACGTTAAAGCCAAGTGTAGAGAAAGGAAACCAAGCCCAATGCCACCCCAGCTGCCTGGCCCACCCCACGATCTGCTCCTCTCCCAGGACACCACACCCTAATTCCCCTCTCAGCCCCTCTGCCTCCGCAGAGCTGTTGCTCTCCAATTCTGTCTCCATGTCTTCCTTGGAGAAGACCCAGGCAACCCCCCCTCCCACACACTATAGGCTGGAGGGGGGGCTCCATGAGGCCCCTGAGCCCCTCCCATCACCCCCATGAGCCCCGTTAGAAGACCAAGTGAGCCTGGAGACCCCACAATCAATACTCCTCAAAGATGAGGACGCTAATAACTCTCTCCCCTCATGTCCCCACCTCTGGCCTACATTAGCTCTGACCACAGGCCCAGCAGCTGGGACCTGTGGTGGGCGGGCTTGCAGCGGACTAACCCCTTCAGGTCCAGGTGGGAAGAGGAGGCAGGAAGCGCTTGCTGACGTTCAGGAATGACAGACAGCCCCGGAAGCACCTTCCCACCCCTCCACGGATGCACTGGAGGCCTGGCTCAGAGTCTGTGAGGATGTGTGACCTCGGAAGCACCCTATGGGGGTGCCCAGGTCCGTGTCTAATTCCTGAGGGCTGCCCAAAGAAGGCGAGCTGGGAGGGAGCTGGCGCTGGGCAAAATCGGGGGTCAGGCGACTGGAGTTGACAAGAGCAAGCCAGGCAGGCGGTTGGTTGGTCGGTCGGAGGGGGTGCTCTGGCCCTGCCCCCTTGCCCAATGGGGCTCTTCCTGTTGGAGACCCACAGCCCACAGCCCTTCAGAGGCTCACACACCCCGCAACCAGGCAGGTCCTCTAGAGTGCTGGGGACCAGGGGACACGAGCTTCTCTTCTGTGAGCCTTATCACCCCAAAACATACCCCTACCAGCCTGTCCTGCCCCATCCCCAAAGGCCAGGGCCTGGACTGGGGGCGCTCAAAGCCTGTGGTAGGACAGAGAGGAAGAGGAGGGGGAGGATGGAGGCGGCGTGGGAAGGAGAGTGACAGAAACAGCAAATATGCAGGGCAGCTCCTGCAGGCCAGGCCCTTGGAAAAGCCGCACACACGAGACGTGTTTGAACCTCACAGCAGCCTTCTGAGGTCAATGCCGTTCTATCCGTTTTGTAGAGGACACTAAGGCACAGAAAGGTTGAGTAACTCGCTCACATCACACAGCGGGAACGTGCCAGGCCAGGCACTCTGTCCCAGAGTCTAGAGACTTCAGCTCCAGGGAACCCAGCCCTGGAAGAGCAACGACCCAGGTGAGCGGGAGGAGGCAGGGCTGCCCTCCAAACGCACAGCCTGGGCTCTGCTCCTGCCAGCGTGCTCTGTGACCCCTGCATGCACGGCCTGTCCCCTGCGCTGCTGCCTGGGCCCCCTCTGTCGCAGCGCCCCTCCTGGCCCTCTGAGGACTCCCCATGCAGCTCTGGCCCTGTCTTGTCTGTCTCTCCAGGCTCCAGATCTCTCCTCCCCAGCGCCCCCAGAGCCCAAGCTGCTTAAACTTTCCATCCTAGCAGGGGAGACTGTCAGAGCTGGAGGGGACAAGGACAGAGAAAGGCGATCTGGGAGGGACCGATGCATGGAGCTCAGCTCACTCCCCAGGGGCTGGGCTGCTTCAGCCTGGCAGTAGCTCAAAGTCAGGGTTCCTGGCTCCTGGCTCCTTCTGGGGGTGTCACCCCCTCCCCTACTGGACAGCCTGTCCAAGGCCACTTTAGGAATTTGGCAAGGCAGGCTCAGTCCGGCTGGTAGTTAGAGAGCCCAGGGCCTCTGGAATCTGGAGTTCTCTCCAGGACCCTCTTCACCGTGGGGGGTCCCAGGGGGCACAGGACATTCTCTCCCAGACAGCTGAGGACTCTGCCTACACTGTTCCTGGAAACCAGAGCATGCTCTGCTCTCCTGTCGGGAATCGAGCCCCTGGGGAAGCAGGACAGGAAGGAAGTCCAGGCTGCTTAGGAAGGCTGAGGGGTCAGGACAGCTTGGACCCCTGGGTTCTTCAGAGAGCCCACCCCCAGGTGTGGGGGGGGTGGCCCTGGGGAGCCCCACTGGCTTCTGCCCCTCTGACTCCTCTCCAGTGGGTATGGAGGAGCTGGCAGGAGCTTCCTCAGACAGGGGCCTCTAGGTTCTGTCCTTCTTGCTGGGGGCCCTGGCACTACCTTTGTGAGCCTCTCTTCCAACCCGGACAGCCATTTCTGAGAGGGAGGAGCCCACGCTAGGTCTGGGGGCCCAGATGTCTGACCCCCACAGCCTCAGGTTGCTGTCCCCATCCCGGCTCCCCACGGGGTCCTCAGGGCCCCAGTCCACTGGTCCCCTGCATGCATCCATCTCCGCTCCTGGTATACGTGGGATCCAGCTAATGGACTTGGCATGGCCAGGAAGTAATTAACAGGGAGGGGGCGCCATGAATGACAAGGAAATCCACCAGCTATGAGTGATAGGGGCTGTGAGTGTGCGTGTTTGCACGTGTGTGCCTGTGGGTGTGCTATGCTGTCCATCAGTGGAGCTGGTGGTGTGGGTGCGAGCCCCCTCCTCACCACCCAGGACAAGGCCCAGCCCAGATCGCCTGAAGGGGGCGGAGCGACCGGCTTCCCCTCGGGACCCAGATCGATGAAAGCTATCCAGTTCCCTCTCCAGGCTCCCCGGAATTTTCCCTTCCCTGTCCTAACCTTGTTCCCAGAACCCCTCACCTCACCAAGACCTCTAGATGTGGCTTTATGAGCTGATGCCCTGATGTTCTTGACCTTGGAAATGCTCCATGAGCCCTGGCAGGTCCCTTCTGCCACCTGCCCTCCATCCCCTCTGCCTCAGTGATGGCCTCAGTCCTGCTCAGTGCTGGCTGAACCTCGGAGCCCTGTGCCTTTACCCACAGAGTCTCCCAGGCAAGGAGTGCCTCTCCGCCCCCCGCCCCCCCCCCAGAGAGGCTCAAGGGGCAGAGGAGGAGGGAGTGGGTGAGACAGAAATGCCCCAAGTCCATGCTGTTCTCCAGGACACTGATTCAGCTGCCTGTCCCTCTCATCTGTCCCTCTGTCCCTCCTCTGTCCATCCGTCTGTGTGTCTCTCCCACCTGCCGTCTCCTTCTGCAGTCTCTGTGAGCCTCCATGTCCGCAGGGCCTGTCCCTGTCTGTCTGCGCTCTCTGTACTGTCCCCAGGCTCACCTGTCAGACCTGACCCCACCCTGTGTCTCCCACCAGGTCCCTGCCCCCTCTCTTCCACCTGCTTTAAGCCCTCACAGGGTGACGCGGACCCACCCAACCCACCCCAGGGCAGGACAGGGGGGCCTGTGAACTTGCCCTCAGCAACCAGACCCCCCATCAATCAGCCTGCAGCCCTGGTCAGACCTCCATTAGCATTAAGCAGCCTGGACAAGAGGCAGACACCATCGGGCTAGGCCTAGGGGTGATAAGACCCAGATTGAATCACCGTGTGGGGGGAGCTGGGCACCCAGGGACATGAGGCAGCCATGCCATTAGCCCTGAGGAGCTGTGGGGAGCGTGGGTTATTGCAGGAGCCGGGCAGGTGATTGGAAGTGATGGGCAGAGGTGGGGGAACTGCTCCTCCCTGGGGCCACTCAGTGAGGCGAGTGGCGTTCTGAGGGGGAGAGGGGGCAGAATGGGACAGGGAGATGGCTTTATCCAGCCCCCGCCTCCAGGTGCGGATCTCAAGGCACTCAGAGCCAAGGAGAGTGCCGGGGGTGGGGGGAACGGGGTCCTGCCTCCCTTACCATTCCTTTACCCGGTTCCTTCCTGTCCATGCTACATGTGCGCACACACATACACGCACACACATGCACACATGCACGTGCACCCACACATGTGCACACAGACACACATGCACACTCCCTCGCACATGCACGCTCCCTTGAACATGCACACACAGAGCACTCCCACACACATGCACACACACGCGTGCACACACATGCACACTCATATACGCACACACATGCACACATGCACGTGCACCCACGTGTGCACACAGACACACATGCACGCTCCCTCACACATGCACACGCAGAGCGCTCCCACACACATGCACACACATGCTCTCCCACATACACACGCGTGTGCATCACACATATGCAGATACACACACAAGCACTCTCCCCTCCCCCTCTCCCTCTCTCTCTCTCTCCCTCCACCTCACCCATTTGTTCCACTGTGTGCTTGCTCTCACCCCCATCTCCATCCTGTCCACCAGACATCTGACTTCCATCCCTCCCGCTGCAGCACCAGCCTCCTGAACATGAAGTACTGAGACGGGCCATTAGGATCGGGAGGCCTGGGAGGCTTGACCTGAGGCTGCCTCACCATCAGGTCAGCAAGGTGACCTCAGGACTGGGAGGCAAGACACAGTCGCAGGTGGAGGTGACAGTTGCATGGAGTAAGGGTAGGCGCCGAGGGGAACCAGCGGGGCTGGATCCCAGAGAGTCGTCCCCTCCGGGAGTCCCAATACCTCCCTCCCGGAAGGATGTCACCCCAAGAATTGGCCAGAGACACAGCCAAGGGATAATAAATATAATTGCTGTGATGGCGCCCAGCCTAGAGAAGAGGGCACCCTCCCTCCCAGACCTCACCTGGCCCCTCCCGCATGCTGAGGGGGAGTTAGAGGCTCTGAGGTCACACTGGGGCTGCTGGGAGCTGTGGGGTGCTGAGGCAGCCCCCCCAGCGCTGGGCCAGCACCTAGCCCAGGACGTCCAGGTAGACAGGGGGCGCCCGGGCCAGGGCCTGCAGCCGGGCGTGCACATCCTTGATGCTGTGACGCTGCTGGGGTTCCCGCTGCCAGCAGCCCCGCATGATGGCATAGACCTCCGGTGGGCAGGCACGTGGCCGCTCCAGCTCCCGTCCCTGTGTGATGCACTCAATCGCCTGGGGCCACCGGAAGGAGAGAGAAGAGGGCACGCCGGGCTGGGGACGGGAGAGGGAAGCCAGCCGCAGCACTGCCCCAGCCTCACTGGGGCTCCCCAGGCAGGTCCCACTATAAGCCTGGGCCTCTTGGCTACTAATGATCTAAAAGGATGCAGGGAACCCCAAGATTCCTTTCCACTCTGACACTGAGCGGTGGGGCACATTAAGGCTAGACCGACTCCCTGGAGGTTGGGCTGGGGGTAGGACTGCTTCCTGAAGGACTAGAAAGAGGCTCTCAGAAGGCTTGCCAGGTGGGCTGAGGAAGCCGGGGCAAGGCCTTTGCCAAATCCATCAGCCTCCTGTTGAGGGCTGACAGGAGGAAGGGGAGGGTCTTCCACCTCAGTTCCAGAGGACAAAAAGAGCAGACAGCAGGACTGAGGCTCAGGGCCTTGAAAATGGCTGCCTTGCATGTGAAGGTGGAAGGCAACCCCACTTCCTTTTCTCTCCTGTAGGCACCGCCCTGTGGGAACCTAGCTCCTCCCAAAAGAAACTGCAGCAGGAAAGATCAGAGTGAGACTGCAGGCAGGACCGCTAGAGCTGCTGCAGGAGCTAAAGGAGGAGAGATGGTGGCCAGGAGCTGGATGCAGGGGCCTGGAGCCTCTTTCCCACTTCTCCCCTCCTCCCCATTAGAGGAGTCGGGTTAGAGGCAGCACTAATTCCATTCCTTCTCTCAGTGCTTGAGAAAATTAAAATCTATAACCCTCTCCCCCACCCCACCAGCCTCCAGGGAGCAGACTGCATTAGGAGAAGAAATGGAAACTGACAGCTGCGAGCCAAGGAGGGGGTGGGGGGAGCTGCTCTGGAAGACAGAACACCTGGGGCCTGCTCTGGCTACGTCCAGCTGAGAGCGGGGGGCAGGCCGGTCCCTCCTGCAGTCTAACGTCCAGCCTTCCTGCTGCAGTGTCAGGCCCTCATGCTATGCTCCTCTTCCCGTGCCTCTCCCTTCCACCCCGATAATCCTGTCAGGTTTATACAATGCAGCCTGAGATGGGGGTCTGGGCTCCATTTATAAAGCTCTTTGAGGTTCCTCCAGGATCCAGGTGGGCCCGGGTTTCGGGGGGGTAAGTGGAGGCATGAATAGGAGAGGGGGAGAAAGGCAAGAACAGTGTCTGCAGGATGGTGCCCGCAGGCAGTGGGACGAGGGGCAGAAGGGGATGGAGTTGCCCTAGAAGAGACCCGATGGGGCAGGAGAGGGGTGGCGGGCGGGGCTGACCTCGGTGTTGGAGAGCTGGTACCAGGGCTGCTTGCCGTAGGTGAAGATCTCCCAGAGCAGCACGCCGAAGCTCCACACGTCGCTCTCGGTCGTGAACTTGCGGTAGAGGATGCTCTCGGGCGGCATCCAGCGGATGGGCAGCATGGTGCGGCCTCCCACCTGCGGCGAGCGGGGCGCGCGGGCGCGCGGGCGCGTCACCTCTAGGGGCGCCCCTGCGCAGGCTCTCCGGCACCGAGCCGCCCCCCGGCGCCGCCGTCATTAAAAATACGGGCTGAGAGGGAAAACCGACGGTGCCGGGTCGTCCGGGAGAGCGGAGACAGCCCTTCCTCCACCGGGGGCCCGGGAGCCAGGACCCGGGTTTTAGCCTGAGTCCCCGGCCCCGCGGCGCCGAAGGAAGAAGAGGGCGTGCCTGGCAAAGGCAGGCTCAGGGCGGGGACTCGGCCTCCGGGTGGGGCGGGGCTGGGACCAAAGACCCTTACGCGGTAGTAGTCGGTGCTGTAGATGTCCCTGCTCATGCCGAAATCGCCGATCTTAACCACCAGTCCCTGCCCCACCAGACAGTTGCGCGTGGCCAGGTCCCGATGCACGAAGTGCAGTCCCGCCAGGTACACCATCCCCGCAGCGACCTGGCTGGCCACGGCCAGCAGCTGCCCCAGCCCCAGAGGGCCTGGAGCCACGTCCTCCCCGCCGGCCAGCAGCTTGGCATCGGGCCCGTGGGACCTGGGAAAGAGGGGGAGAAGGGATGGGCTCCCCAGGAGCCTGAGCAAGGGGAGTCTGGGGGCCTGGGGTGGAATGGGGGAGGGGACTCAGGGGTCCAGAAGTGGAGGAGGAAAGGAACAGGGGAGGCTGCTGTCTGGAGGGGTGGGGAGGGGGCCGGCAGGGGTGCCCAGCGCCAAGGCTTCCCCCAGCGCCCACACTTTTCACATCCATGCCTTCCTCGCAGGCAGCCACTTTGAACGCCACCCCCAGCATCCAGCTGCCCACTGGCCCCCATATCTCTTGCCCATGCACACCTCCAGCCCCAGCCTGCCCCTGCCTCAGTGAAGGGAACTTCCCCAACCCAGCTCTGAGCCTGAAACCTGGGAGCCCTCCTGGATTCCTGTCTCTCTCCCCTTTGCTGTGGGGTCCTCCTTCCTCCAAAGCTTTCCAGGATGCCCCCCTCCTCCCCACAGCCACCATGCCAGAACAGTCCCTGATCCCTCATCCCATTGCCAAATAGTCCTTCTTCTTCTGAACCGTTGCCTGAGCGGATGGCTTTGTCCTACTGCCCTTTCCTACTGGCCAGCTTTCTCCTCATTCGTTTACTTCTTCCTTCATGCCAGGCATTTGTTAGACATCTCCAGTGTGCCAAGCACCAGAATGCAGTGGAGAGTAGGGCACAGTGTGAGGAACACCTGACCTGCACTCAGCGTACGGATGAGAGAAGTCAGGGAAGGCTTCCTGGAGGAAGAGTCATCTAAATCTAGCCTCCAGCCCAGAGGAATAGAAGTGGATGAGCCATTGCAAAGGGTCAGAGACAGGGGCAAAATGGCTGGGAGGGAGGCCCAGTGTGCCAGGCAGAGGGAACTGTAAGTACAGGAACCAGAGGCTAGAAGGAACCAGTGACCCTCCCAGGGGAAGTCTTCTAGGCTTGTCTAGGAGTTCTCATGATGCCCTCCTTTGGTTCCCCCTGTGCTCCATCCAGCTTTTCGAGCAGCTTCTCCCACTGCCTGGGCCCCAGATGGTGGCCTGCATCCCTGGAACCCAGCACTGAGACCCCCCCTGTGTCTGGTAAGCAGGGTTCCTCTGGCTCCTCCTGACTCAGTCCCCCTGAGCGAACCCACCTCCACGCTCAAGGTGTGGCATCGCCCCCCTCCTCCCCACACCTTCCAGGGTCTCCTCCCAACCCCAGGGAAGCTCGGACTCCAGGTTCTCTCCCCGCTGCATGATTGGCCCATCACTCCCACGGAAGTGTTTTGGGGACCAAAGCACAATCATCAGCTGACAATCACACTGTGCCTTCTCATCTAGAACCACAGTTCCCTGGGTGGGAAAACTGAGGTCAGAGAGGAAAGCCACTTGGCCAAGAAGGCTCAGCGAAGAAGTCACAGCTGGTTGCAAACCCTGGCCTCTCCCTGGGGCCTGCTGCCCCATCCTCACAGGGTCCCATCTCATTAGAACACGTGACCATCACAGTCCGGAGGGGAAAGCGGGACTCTGCTCGGGCTCATGTCCCCCCTGGGCCATTCCTACCTATGTGCTTGGGCACGTCACTTAGCCTCTCTAAGCCTCACTGTGAAAGGAGCACGTTTCTTGAGGTTACTAAAATGATCGGCACGAATTAGTAAACGTGTCAGAGCCAAAGAAATGAATTTTGGGTAACTTTCTTCAAGTATAAATCGTCATATACGCTTGGAGACCGACACACAGATATTTATGTAATTATACAGACGTGTGCGTGCCAGTACCGACGGCCGTGAGGATGGGCTGTAAAGTGTGTGACAGTGGCTGCCACCTAGAAAAGTGCCGGATTCGCGCTTGTCCTGCAGGCGCGGCCGGCCGCTGCGCGCCACACACAGACCCTCCCTCTCTGCCAAACCTGCCCACCCTGAGATCTTAACTCCTGACTTCCGCTGGGGCCACCTCCCCGACTACCGCCACCCTGTCCTTTGCAGGGACTGTCCCTGCGTTCACACGTTTGCCTCCTTGAGAACAGGTGCCTTTCCTGCTCCTTCCTGGCGCGCCCCCCCCCCCTCAGTTCAGCGGACCCGCAGGGACTCGGAGCCGCTCGTACCGGAGGAAGCGGTTGAGGTCCCCGTGCCGCATGTACTCGAACACCATGAGCAGCGGGCGGCCCTCGGTGCAGACGCCGAAGAAGCGCACGACGTGCTGGTGCTGAAGCATGGTGAGCAGCTCCGCCTCGCGCTGGAAGTCCTGCCGCGCGCTCTCCGACGCCTCCTTCAGCGCCTGATGGGGGGCGGACCTGAGCGGTGGCCCTCGCCTCCCCACGCTCTTAACCCTGAGCCCACCCCCAGCCTGAGCACCTGTCCCGGGACGATGGCCAAGGTCTTACCTTAACAGCCACCAGCATTTTGTCCTGCTCAGGTAGCAGGTGGTGGCACTCGGCAAGGAAAACCTTCCCGAAGGCGCCCTCGCCCAGCTCCCACTTGAGCACGATGTCCCGGCGCTTGATGTGGCGAACACCTAGGGGGGCTCGCATGGTCAGACAGGGGCCCCTGGACAGGGCTGAGCACTGCACAAGGGCGGCGCCAGCCACGGGTGGGGGGGGGAGACTGAAACGGAGCCTTCACTTCTTCACCGAGCCCCATGCGAGGTGTGCACAGGGGTGGGGGTGGGAAG